CAACACCATGATACTATAGCACTTAGATCCTTGGCACCAAACCTGATGCGTAGATTCTGACATTTCATCATGTAATGCTAATGAGTAACATGTGACATAAAGTACCTGCCACCTAAGTAATTTCTAAGTGCTATTTATGATATGATGAACGATATTTATTTATTTAAGAAAATAAAAAATAATTAATCTAAATGTAAATACTAGAGCTTACTTGATTTAACAATATTTAAAAATGTCTAACATGCAAGAATAAATGATAAAAGTTAGAGTCAAAGTGTAAACCATATGACATTATTATGAGTATAAGAAAATCATGAAAATGTCTATTTTTAAAGGGGCTTTGCCCTCTCCCTCTCCAAATATCTTAAGCTTCAATCCTCCTATCTCAGTTCTTCTTAGCCTTCTTATAAAATTTTAAAATGCCCAATTGTTAGATTCCACCTCAACTTCATAGAGTTATGATGCTAAAAAGTATTGCTCTTTTGCTACAATAAGTAGTTGAAGGGTTTGATGGTGCAATTGAGATGGTGATAATGTCAATGTGTTGGTAGATTTTTGTAAGGTAGCTTAAAACTGTCTTTATACTAATGATTAGGAATGTTTACATAAATGTAAAAGAGCACAATGATGACCTTTTTTTTATTTGAGGAAAGAAAATATTATTTAACTTTGATTGAGCTAATTCTTACTATGTTTTGGTGGTTAATCTGAATGATGCATTCTCGAACTTCTAGTTGAGTGGTTCTAAATTTGAAGAGATTAGTTATGCTCTTACTATTTTTGGCACCTAATGGAAGCAAGGGATGATATGACTATAATATTTCTTGTTAAAAAGTTAAAAGCTATTTTGTTATCATGATTCACCAAAATTATTTTAAGCCACCACCACCTCTGCTAATTAACTAAAGAGAGAGCACCATTACACTTTGCCAGTCTTTAAAATACATTCATTAAAATCAACCAACTAATTCAAGCCAAAATCCTTCACATGGCATAACCTAGTATCATTAATGGGTTGGGCTACTAATCTATGATCTATGGCTCAAAGGAGATGGTGCATCCTAATTCAACCATCACCAAGAGAAAGATGCAATCGATGGGACCTACCGACAACCACCAACATATGCAAAAAGTAAAGCTCCTTGGGACACCTCCAATTCCCAACCATAATGAACCTCTTTACTACTTGGTATCTAGTGAAAAATATGGTGGATATTGAGAGGGTCACTATAAAAGCTTTAATAAATAAATGAGTATATTAAATGGTATAAGTAGTGAGCATAAAAATGCATAGACACATGCTTCAATTATCTTTTGGAGACCAAAATGCAACATTTTGATTATGTAGACTAGGTTCAGATATTATTGATAGATATATTTAGTAATTGACACATCAAAGTTGGTTTAAGCAATGAGTCTTTTTCACCATTGAGGAAATATCTTGAGTATCTCATTTTGGAAAAAAAGAGGAAGATGATGAGGAATAGTAGCCACCCCATATGAAAGGTCTTGTCCCATTACTTTAGATTTTACTATATATTTTTGCTTATGGGTTTTGAAGCATTGGGGCAATGTAATGTTTGTGTCACTAAAAATTGTATCTTTTGAATTTGATTTTAGTTTCAGCTTACTTCTTACTAGGTTATGTTATTAGTGCATTGTATTTTTAGCTCTTGGTTAGTTATTTATACTTGTTATTTTTTTGTCTATTTTAGGTCTATGTTTGTGTTTTTCCATGCTATGTCATATCTAATTGTATTAGAAAGAGTAGAGGGATATGTCTTTAAAAATCATAATGCATCAAATTATTGAATTAAATTATGCCCTAGCTATATACTATCTTTATTGATGAATTTTCGTTCATCTATGAAGAAAGTGAAAAATAAAATTTAAAGCTATAACTATATAATTTATTTTAAAATTTTTATTAGAGGAAATAAATTTATTTTGTATTACATACAGTGCTATATGTTCTACACAATAATTGAACTAGTTGTCTATAGACATTGCATTATATGATGCAGATAAATGCAACCAAAGTCAAGTAGAATAATCAACTTGTATACTTAAGAACCATTAACTAAATCAAAATCAATATCTATTTATAGGTATAAGTGAATAATAATAAATTAATATAAGTCCTAATAGAAATGTAGACTATGAGTTAGGCCTTTCTTATATCAATATTAAAAAAAAAAAGAATGGAATGAGAGTTATCATTTGAAAATCATTTGAAAATGTAAAAAGCAAGAGTGCAGAGTTATCATCTACAAAATTTGAAAAAAAAACATTATTGAAGAAAAATTTAGAACTCTCCATATTATTCCCAAGACTTACCTAGGTGAATGTTCAAGTTATTAGACAGTTATCCACAAAATAATCATTAAATTAATGCATTGCTATAGGTCAAGGGTGCACCTAATGCTAACGCATTAAGTTGTGAAGTTATATATTTTTAGAATTTATACAACATAGCTGTAAGTAAAATTAGTTTTAAATTCCTAGAGTTTTATAATAAATTTAAAATAGGGTTAGTGGGCCTCCAATAAAATTTACGAGCATCAACGTAGGCATTGTGGGCACCATAATGGTTTACTTTAAACTAAGAAAATATAAAGACTTTAAGCCTTAGCAAAATACAAATTAATAGGTCTCCACAAAGTATTTCTTGCCTTTACAAAGTGCTTGTGGGCCTTTGTAATCTCTAGCTAGTCTTTAAGAAGATCAAAATCTGAAAAAAAAAAAAAGTATTTAATGATGATTTTACAAATTTGAATTTGAATTGCCCATAATTTTAGAGAATTTGAGTCTTTATAAACAAAATAAAATGTTGAATATATTTATATAAATTATTTAGATATTTGACTTAAAAAACCACAAAACAATCCACCTAATATATATTATCTTAAGGGGTTATGTAGATGAACTTCTATTATTATATATTTTAAAACTTTTGAGCATCCTATCCTTTATTTTCTTGTGTCTTTCTAAATTCCTTCATTGAAAAAGACATAAAGAAAAAAATGCAATTTGAAACATAGAAAGAAGCTTGCTTGTTCATATAAGATTCTTTGATGCTTTATCATGATGCTGAGTTTCTTGGCTTTTTCATACACATTTTTCCACAAGTGTAAGAACTTGTTAAAATTTTTATATTGTTTTTGCATAATTTTTTAATTTTTTTTTGTAAGTGGATAATATAGAGAATGATGTTCTTATCACAAAGAAGGAAGATTGAGAGGACGTCTTGGTGATCAGAAGGATTTTGAGATAAAAGCAAATTATAAAGGTTTTCTTATTTGTGAAAGAGTAATAACTTTGTTAGAGTGAAAATTTAAGATAGATAATTAATTGTGGATGTATGCTCTAACCAAACCAAATAAAAATCATTTTGTCTTTGAATGTCTTACATGCTTATATATGATTTGCAATTATTTTACAAGTGTTTAAATTAAATGTTTGATAAAACTATTAAATCATATATATATGTTACTTGATCATGAAAATTAGGTTGTATCAAATTTCTGTTATTTAATATTTCCAATCTTTTCTCATTCTTGCTTTTAACTTGAGAAAAACTAAGGATTTTATAGAAAAGATTTTTGGGCTTGTACAAACCAACAAAAAGAACAAGTTTAATGAAGTATTGATATGTTGCAAAATCATTTTTTTTAATGAAATTGGAACTAAGTACATTAGATGGTATGTGAGATTTCACTCTACAAAACCATAAAAATGTATAACACTGAGTTATCTCGCACTTCACCAGACCTTTATGAAATCACAAATTAGTTTTGTAAGTGTTTACCTAGGTTGCTTGTGATGTTTCCATTTTTTGAAAATAGGTTGGAACCTTTTTGCTTTAAAAATGAAAGAGCGACAACATGGATGAGATTTTCACATCTATTATAAAATAAGCCATTTGACATTTTAATAAAATTTTATATGAAAATTTTTTACCTATTAGTTGATGAGTTTATTTTTGTTGCATTTTTAGCAGAGACTGCAGAATATGTATGACATAACACATAATCGACCTAACTACATTGAAAAATAGTTTACTAGTAGCACTTAATCACATAAAATTCCTAAGAGACCATCTATGTAAAGTTTTTTCTTACTATGATATAAATTTATAGCTCTATTATAATATGATTAAATTATTCTATAAAGACTAATATTTTAGTTCCTTTAGATGGCACTCATTTGTAAACATCCCTTCTATGATTGATTTTGATCTATTAGTGTTATGGCTAGTAAATTGAACTCGAATGTGTTATATATTAAGGATTACACTATTTTTTTGTATCTACCTTAAAATTTGTTTATAGTTGTTTAATTACTCTTTGCTATATTATAACAACTCGACTATATTTTATTATATTTATCATATAATCCGCTGGTTATTATTATTATTATTATACTCTATTGTATCAATCCTTTAGTTTATCATGTTGAAGCCATATGATTGCACTTTGTTGCAAGATAAATCATGTTTGAAAGGTTTTCAAAACTTATTAGAATAAAGCCTAAAAAGAGTTCAAATGATGTTTGCTAACAGTTCAAATCATGTTTGAAGATTGTGCAAACATCATTTTAGTTGTGTTTGAACATTGTTCAAACTTCATTCATATACACATTTTAACATTGTTCAGAAAAGATTTGAGCTTTAAAACTTTTTCAAATTTTATTGAATTCTTAATTTATTTAGTTACTTTTAATTTGCACACCAATAAATAATTCAGTTAAAAATGATGAATTTAATAGAAAATTAAGTTTAAGTTATATTTATCTAAATGAAATAACATATACTTTTTCAGTATTTAAAAATAATAAGGTATATAAAGAAAGTACCTCTATTGGAATTGCATTTTTTAATCATTGCATTAATTGGAGCAAAATCGCACCTTGAATAAATTTAAAAAAAAACACTAAAATTCCTTTGGATAAGGATAGTTTAAATACCAGGAGAAAAACCAGTAAGATGCAGTCTACAGCTGCACAGCTCAGCTATGAAGATACGGTCGCCTTCTTCTGTGTACCTGATCGAGAATTAGCCGGTGGAGAGCACCTTATCGGCTTTCAACTCCTCGGTTCACCGCTTTTTGATTAAAATAGAGAAAAATGTCATCAATGGCGGGATTCTCTTTCCTCTCGCCACTCCCTGTCGTGACAGCACCTTCTCGGTCGTGCTTTTCATTTGCGAAATCTGTAAGAAGAAATGTTTGTGAAGTTCTTTTCACTAAGCTAGCTTTAGATCTCTGTCCACCCGATGGAATAGCTGTCTGGTGGTTTTTCACTACTCGCTTTCTACTGCTATTGGTTTGATGGATTGCATTTTTTGTTCTGGCATGCTTTCCTCTATGCACACAATGGAATTCACAGTGGCGTTGATTTTTGTTTGTTTAATTATCTGAAACCAGGGCAGAATCAAGTGTCATTACACAATGGAGGAGTTAGAAGTAACTGACAGAGTGCAGGGTAAGCAGCTTAATCGGCGGGACATTCTTAGCTGCTTCACCACTGTGGTTGGCTTGGTATATAATGCTCGAACTGTCTTGTAGCTCTGTAAGGTTTAGAGTTTTCCGTGTACTATCTAAGTTCTCCTTTGATTGAGGTTTTAAAATTTGCTAGAATTTGATATCTCCGCCATTTTATCATGGAGTACGTCTGTTTGCATGAAAGAGTTCAGATAGGAATTCTAGTTCTCTTCTTGTAATTAAGAAAAGCTCTTGAGATCGCAGATTATGATAAGAAAAGTCTCCTAGAGTGATGCAATTGTTTTTCTTTTTCCTTTTTTTTTAATAGCATAGTGTTGTACCTTATGCAAAAATCGCATCGAACACTTATTTGGGTATGCTGGTTAAACTGGTTACTAATGACATTTTAACGTTTGATTCATAATTTCATGCAAGAGACATCTCCTGATACGTTTCATAGAATTTAAAGCATAATTGGCATCAGTTGTCTGGTAAGATGGATGAACCTGTTTGAATTTTGTTCAATTGATTAATTTTCTGCTTAACCCATCTGTGTGCTTACTTTATTTGTAGTATTTTGTATATGAAATGTAAGGTGGTTAACTGTTTTCTTAGAAACTGGTCCTTGGTTGAAAAGTTTGTCTCTATTACTACTGATATTTATCAAACCAAGGCTTTTATTTATCGGCACTGTATTTCCTGAGCCTGTTCACAATATTTTCTGTGATAAAGAATGATTTATAATCCTATGTTGAGTTTCTGCCATTTTTACTCAATAGGAAATGGTAGCAGGCTCAGGATCACTAACCCAAACTGCCATTGCTGCTGATCTCATCCAACGAAGACAGCGCTCTGAATTCCAGGGCAAGTTTTATGTCATAGTTCTCTTTCTGTCAATACACATGATATCTAAAGTTGTTAGCTGCATCTTACGTATTTAGATTTACCATTGCAGGACACATCAAAGAAACCCTTTCCAATGCAATAAAGGTAGCTCTATAACTTTTTTTGTAGGTGCACTGGTTTGGAATTTCAGTTTATAACCTTTTCTACTGAAGGAACACCTTGAGCTTTTACCATCCATACTGAAACTAGCACTCAATGATGCTGTAACTTATGACAAGGTAAAAAATTGGATTTGTAGACTTTTTAACTTTGTCATGCACTCCTGCTTGTCACTTTAACTGTTCAGAATGCTTGTTTAGGCTACGAAATCAGGTGGGCCAAATGGTTCTATTCGATTTAGGTTGAGATCTTAACTCTCAAAACTTTGAGATTCTAACTTAATGTATTGTTTCTAATAATGAGGTTTCTGTTTCTTTTTCTTTCACACCATAGCCAGGAGATTAGTAGACCAGAGAATACTGGACTTTCGCCCGCTTTAGATCTTTTGGTGAAGGCAAAAGAAGAAATTGATTCCTACTCAAAAGGAGGCCCCATTTCATATTCTGATCTCATCCAATTTGCAGGTACCATAACACTTCTAACAAAAAAAAAAAAAAAAATCATCATCATAATCATTAGCCTCATCAATCACAAGATGTAGTTAAAAAGTTTCAAAGTGGCCTATTGATTATGAATAAGCTTTATTAGTACAACAATTGATAAAACATTCTGAAAGGACATCTCATTAGGTATTTTGTATGGAATCATTGGAATCCTTAATGTACTTTGCAACCCATTAGTGGGACTATTATCCTATGTAGATATTTTCAGTTCAGTCCAATATTTATTTATCTTTGATTATGGAATTTGACCTGATCATATATGTGAAAAATTTTAATGCTGCAATCACACAAAGTAAGTTCGAATGGGTGAACAATGTTTTCAGCGCTTGTCATCTGGAATTAGAAACCTAAAGTTACGACGTAGAACATAACTTTATTTAATAGGGAAAGGGGAAAGAAAAATACACTGCTTCCATCCATTGATGTTATAAATTATAATGCTACTAGAAATCATAATGTAACCCAATCATAAGGAAGCTTGCATGGATGATCAATTGGTACAGAGCCAACCATGTAGTCTTAAAATTTAGCAAGCTGTTTTGTTTATATTCATTTTACAGAATTAAATTGAGATCACCGCTTGGTGTGGCTGTTCTTGGACATCATTCCCACAAATAGAGCCTAGTGATATGTGAGGTCACCTCAGAATGAATGTGGATGTCAACAACATTTATAATCTCAAATTTATTTTTTGCTTTACTCAAATCCAATAGAAACCTCTAAAATTTTTTTACATTTAGGAGACTGCTTTGGTAATCTAACACTTGAAAACATAATAGGTCTTTTTTCTACTTGAAAGGTTTGAACCAACAAAGTCGTTCTAAAGCTTATGCAAGGGTTCTTTATGTTTCATGCTTTTTGGATAAGTTTGACATTTGCTGGCAGCCGTACACTCCATTATATTATCTTTTAATATGTGCAACTTAGAAGATGACCTAAAATAAACATTATCCCATGATTATTAATGTTTATGAAATTGACCCCTAAAGATGTTTGGAAATTGTATTTCATGTTAAGCTATGCTTGTTCATCAATTACATAGCCTGCAAAATTCTTTCTAGTTGATGCACTAACGTAGCTTGTATTTTGATTATGTCACTTCCTTCATTTTTTTAAGCGGCATTTGTACTTCAAATGCATCTCAGTTGCCTTTCCTTTAGTGTAGCCCAAGCTGCTATTAAGAACACCTTTCTGGCTTCTGCAATTCGCAAGTGTGGCGGAAATGAACAGAAGGGGCGTTTGCTATACACTGCATATGGTTCCAATGGCCAGGTTTTCTTTTATTATTGAGTCATTTTGCAACTCAAGCTTAATATCTACGATAAAAACCTTATGATTTGCCTGTCTTCAGAGCCTATGCTTTTACATTCTCATCCATACTGATGTTAACTTTCACGAATATATGCTTCAAGGAACACAACTAGATCTGTTGGACAATGATTTTTTTATTTATGCAAATCAAACTAATTATGTGATTTAATGAGCAAATATCTTGAACAAAATCTACCTATTCATAAAGACATTTCTTTTTTTCTTAGATTGCACATTTGTTTCCAACTAGTTATCCAATGTTGTTGTGCAAACACTTTTATTCTGATATTTATCCATGGTCTTCTGGTTGGATCCTTGGAATTAGAATTCTTTAAGCTGAAAGGTTAACATCATAATTGTATTTATTTATAAAATATCCATCACAAAGTACACAATTATTTCATTTACTTCAATGTTCTCATCATGGCCTATTTAAAATATTTAGTTGATACTCTTATTGTCACACCTTGAGTTCGAAAGGAGGTACATAATTGACAAAGTAAGGTGAGATGAAATAAATTTTTTTCCATAAAAGAGAGTCTCACTGATATAATTAATTAAAAGAATTGACTGAAACAAAATTGAAAGGACAATAATAACTATCGAACCCGAAAGAGGAAATACAACTACTAAAATGAATACTAAAAAAATTTAAAAAAAAGTTTAGAATTTGATTGTCTGCTTTTGCGAAATGTTCTTACAAGTGTTTTAGTAGAACCTGCTAAACAAAATATCAACAAGTGAGTTTGAAAAATCAACCTTTGTAAATAATCACTGTTTATCAAGCATAAACAAAAAGGAATTGAAACATACAATATGAATAATAAAAAATGGATAATATATAGATATATGTGTGTGCGTGTGTGTGTGTGCGCGTGTGTGTGTGTGTGTTTGTATGTATAGCCTAGAAATAGGCCTTCGCCGAGCTCAAGGAAAGTCGTTACCAAGGGCCGACCATTGAAGGCCGACCACCAAGGGTCGACCAACGAAGGTTGTGTTGAGGAAGGTGGAGACCTGCTCCACTGTATTTTTGGTAGTAATTAAAATTGTTAATTACCTTCCTAATTAAGCTTCCTGCTTCTTCTGCTAAATCCTGCCTTCAGTTGTAATTTCGCAAAATTGTTGCTTCCTTAATGGGCCAAGAGAAGGGAGAATAAAAAGGGCTTGGCTGGAAGGAATCGGGACGTTGCTGGTTCTCTTGTTGTGGGTGGGGTTATTCCTTTCGGTGTTATTGTTCACGGAAGAGAAGCAAGAAATAGCAAGACTTCATCCCACCTTTGCCGACTTCTTCGGCACTTTGGCTCACGGCAAGGAAGGAATCGTTGGGATATGCTGCACCATTGTATTTGTTTAGGGTTTAGGGGATAAAAAATCACAGCTTGCTTTTCCTTTGATTTCTTCTTCTTCTCGTGTAGCTCTCCGTTAGAGAAGAGATAGAGATTTCTTGTAATAGTCGAGGCGATCGACGGGTGTAATCTTTGAAGTAATAAAATCCTCTGCAACTCCTTGGACGTAGACAATTTGCTGAACAACGTAAATTTGTGTGCCTGTTTTATGTTTTGTGAATTTCTCGTTCTAATATTTTGCTTTACTGCCGTCTTTTTTTCACAGCAATTGATATTAGAGCAAATGTTCAGGTCTGAGGAAAGCGATGGCTAGAGATAAAGTAAAGATATGAGGGATCAAAAAGTTTGATGACACAAATTTTGATTACTGGAGGCAGATAGATGATTATCTTAATAGAAAAAAAATTTGGTCTTCCGTTATTGGGAAAACGACCAGAAAAGATGGATGATGCTGATTGGAATCTGTTGGATCGACAGGTTCTAGGGGTTGTTCGATTAACCCTATCGAGATCTATTTCTCACAACATCATAAAGGAAAGTACTACTGCAGATCTCATGATGACTTTATTAGGAATGTATAAAAAATCATCGGCAACTAACAAGGTGCATCTGATAAAAATTTCTTCAATTTGAAGATGACGGGAGATGTATCCGTTGCTTAGCATCTGAATGATTTCAATATCATTACAAATCAATTGTCTTCTGTTGAAATTGATTCTGACAATGTGATACGTCCACTAATATTATTAGCTTCATTAACAAATAGCTGAGAAGCTATGAGGATTGTAGTTAACAATTTTGCAGATAAATCTAAACTGAAACATGATAATATTTGTGATTTAATCTTAGATGAGAATGTGAGCAAGAAAGATTCTGGCGAGATCTCAGGTTCGAGTTCAGCACTGAATGTTGATTCCAGAGGGGGATCACATGACATAAAATCAAACAAAGGAAGATCAAAATCAAAGTCTGGCCAGTAAACAATCTGCTGGAATTGTGACAAAATCAGTCACATAAAAAAAAAATTATAAAAATCTGAAGAAGACGGGGAATGATAGCGCTAATGTCGTAACTGAAGAAGTGCAAGGTGCACTATGCTGATAGTTCACAGTTCTGTTGATGACTGGATATTGGATTCAGAGACTTCTTTCCATACATCTTTCCACAGGGAGTTAATACAAAACTATGTTACAGTTGACTTTATGAAGGTATATCTGACTGATGGAGAAGCTTCAGACATGATGAAAATGAGAGACATTGATATTGCACTCCTTAAAAAGAGCAAATGAACTTTGTAAAAAGTTGAGGACATTCCCGAGTTGAAGAAAAATCTCATTTATGTTGGGCAGCTCGATGAGGGTGGTTATTCAGTAATGTTCTCATATAGCACCTAAAAGGTTACCAAAGGAGCATTAGTACTAACTCGAAGTAAAAAAACTGACACTATATATGACTAGATGCTTACTTAATATTCTTGTTACTACAGTTGCAGAGTGACGACAGATTTGTGACATTGCAGACTTGATCACATGAGTCAGAATGATATGAAAGAACTTTAGTCCAGAGGAAAACTATCAGAGCTGAAGTCAGTTGATCTCAACATATGTGAGAGTTGCATCATAGAGAAATAGAAGAATGACAGTTTCTTGAAAAGTGGCAGAGCACCCAAAGCAGGAAAACTAGATCTTGTACACAAGAATGTGTGAGAACCTTCTCCAGTGACATCTCTTGAAGGCTCTCGTTACTATGTCACATTCATTGATGATCACAACAGAAAGGTGTGAGTTTATTTCTTGAAGCATAAATCTAATGTATTATGTGCTCAAGACCATGGTTGAGACATAAACAGACTTAAAATTGAAATGTCTGGGGTTTGATAATGGTGGTGAGTACATTGATGGTGGGCTCAATGAGTATTGCGCAGCTCAGGGCATCAGAATGAAATAAAATTATTCCAGGGACACCACAACATAATGGAGTTGCAGAACGCATGAACAAAACCATTAATGAGCTAGAAGCATGAGATTGCACGTTGAACTACCACTTACTTTATGGGCAGAAGTGGTCAGCATTGCCGTTTATTTGATCAACAGGGGGTCATCTGTTCCGCTAGATTGTGAATTGCTTGAGGAGGTCTAGTGTGGGAAATAGTCAAATTTTCTTACTTTAAAACCTTTGGCTGTCTCTCTTATGTTCTTATTAATCCTAAGGCTCGTAGCAAACTCGAGGCTAAGTCAAAGAAATGTTATTTCATTGGTTGTGGAGACGAGACATTTGATTATCGTTTTTTGGATGATCAGGATCGAAAAATCATAAGAAGCTGGAATGTAATTTTCAATGAGAAGATCATGTACAAGGATAAGCCCAGCACAGTTTTTGAAGTGACTCCCCAGGAATCCGAGATGGTAAGGTTTGATGATTTACCAGAGGTCATAGTGCAGGGCAGTGATGGAAGTGATGAGCAGAGTGGGTCTGGGGCACCTATTCCTATTGTTCCACAGACAGTTTCAGAGTCATCCACCCCTACAACTACAGTTTGCATGTCAATCATGAATAGACTTCTACTCAGCGTTACTCACCAACTTTGAACTACATTCTGTTGACAGATAGTGGAAAACCACAGATTTATGAAGACACATTGCAAGATGAAAATTCGAGCAAGCGAGAGCTGGTTAGGAAAAAGAAGAAACTGGAGTTGTGCTCGACTTCAGTTGGTCTTCTAGCTTGAAGACATGGGCTTTGAGTTGCAGAGATGGAGGATATCACTTTTGAAGAAAAGAACGACGCAAACAGTGGGCGATGCAGTCTGTGTCCCAGTCTCCAAGTGAGAGAATTGTTAAGGAAGGTGAAGACCTGGTCCACTGTATTTTTGGTAGTAATTAAATTTTTAATTACGCTGTTAATTACCTTCGTAACTAAGCTTCCCGCTTCTTGTGCTAAATCCTGCCTCCGATTGTAATTTTGCGAAATTGTTGCTTCCTTAATGGGCCGAGAGAAGGAAGAATAAGAAGGGCTCGACTGGAAGGAATCGAGATGTTGTTGGTTCTCCTGCTTTGGGTGGGGTTATTCCTTTCGGTGCTTTTGTTCACGGAAGAGAAGCTAGGAATAGTAAGACTTCATCCCACCCTGGCTACTTCTTCGGCACTTTGGCTCGTGGCAAGGAAGGAATTGCTGGGATATGTTGCTCCATTGTATTTTTCGTTTGTTGTGAAGCTTACGAGATAAAGGAGAACCGCAACTTGCTTTTCCTTTGAATTCTTTTTCTTCTCGTGTAGCTTTTCATTCGAGAGAAGGAGAGAGAAGGTGAGGAGAGAGACAGGGGAAGAGAGATGAGATTTCTTGTAATGGTCGAGGCGATCAACAGGTGTAATTCTGGAAGTAATAAAATTCTCTGCAACTCCGTAGACATACGTAATTTGTCGAAACACGTAAATCTGTGTGTCTGTTTTTATGTTTTATGATTTTCTCGTTCTAATTTTTCGCTTTATTGTCGTCGTTTTTTCACAGCAAGCCGACCCTAAGAGGCCAATGAACTGATGCTGATAGCAACGAGAATGTTCCAGGGAGACAGATCTAGCCAGGGAAAGGACCACAATACCTTTCATAACTCCCCTT